TGCTCTCTTGCCCCCTTTGACCCTCCTGGGGATTACCTTTATTGGTGACAGAGCCATGGGCAGCTCGTCCAAAGGCAAGGAGGGGTGCAGCTGCCTGCAGCTGCATGTACCCCCAGGGGAGGCATGGGGGACATGTGCCCCCTCCAGGGCAGAGGCGGGCTGCCTGCTACCGGCTGGGGCTCTGCACAGTTCTGCCTTTGCCCCAGGAACTGCACAATGCTATTGCCACCTGCTGGGCAGGCAGGGGACGTATGGTGCGGCCAGCGTGCGTCTCCCAGGGCAAAGTTTGCCCCCTTAGCTGCACACTGGCCACACCATGTGTCCCCTCTCCACCCAGTAGTGGGAGGCACACTGGCGTCATGTGGCTCTCAGGGCAAAGGCAGCAGGGCACAGAGCCCTAACCCGCAGTGGGCAGCCCGCCTCTGGATGTAGGCACTTAAAATGTGGCTCTGTTGCACAACCTCTCATGGCTCCATTCATCCCAGCTCCTGCCCCAGACCCTCCCTCACCATAGGGGCCTTGATCTGCCCCCCATGCCCCTTCCCTCTCCCCCCACCCCTGCCCCTCCACAGACTTACCAGCTGGGCACTTTCTACATGTACCAGAAGAAAAAATCCCAAGATCTGAGGGTTCTGTCGTGAGATCATGAGTCAGAGATAATTTGACTTAGAAATCGCAAGTCTCATGATTTTTCTGCAGGAGTTGGCATTACTGGTGACACATCAAATGGAATGTTTTCCCTATTCCTTTTGATGGAAGCAAGGTCAAAGCTGAAGCTTAAGTCTCCTTGTATCCTATTTAAAAATATGTGCAAAGACCAAAGCTAGGTTTTGTGTCTGAAAAGCCAGCAAGCAAAGTCTGTAGCAAGCCCCACGCAGCACAGAATAGTCAGCCTCAGAAGTCAAGTCTGTGGGGGGCAACTTCATAGCTTGCTCTGGAGCCAAACATATTCCAGATAGAATAATGTTAATCAGGAGCACAAGTCTGGACTCTCTAAATTCTTTCATAGTGGGTGAACTTCAACCCTGATATCTCTGGAATTAGTGCTGAGCAGCATTTACATGTCATCCATGCCAGAGGCACAGGAAAGGCCCAGCTGTGTTGAATAGGAGAGTATCTGTAGCTAGGAAGTAAAGAGCACAAAGACAAAGGAACAAATTGTGGCCTTAGAAGCTAGTTTTCCATCACAGCACAGAGGCAGCAATATCCCATGCATTCCCATGCTGCCCCACTGTCATCCCTGTGTGCATGAAACCTGAGTGTGTGTGTGTGTCTTTTCTTTCAGGGCCCACATGGACGGCCTGGACAGAAGGGAGAGATTGGCTTTCCTGGTAGACCTGTAAGGACCTCTCATAGTTCACCTTTGATTTAGTCTCTGTTCCTGTCAAGTGCATTGTTTCTCCAGATGAAGTGCTCTTGTTGTTCCTCTCCCCAGCTGATGCCACCTGCTTGTAGACTCCCTGGATGGCAAAGCTGTGGCTCAAAGAAATAGAGGCAGCCTCCATCTCAGCTAACATGAGGATGCTGGGAATGCTGGTTTATACACCGGGGCAGATGTAGAATTTTGAAAAGTGGGGTACAGATGGGGAGATGCATCATCACACATAAAAACAACACACATTTTTTCCAGTTAAAAAGAAACCAGAAGCTTTACTAATATGCTAGGGGCCCAGGGCTGGATTACTCACTTTAAGATTGAAGCAAAAACAAATATAACTTTATTGGAATGAGTTAAAAACAATCTGCTGGGCTGTGAAATAGGAGAAACATTCAGAGGAGCTGCTGACAGACAGCAGAATTGCAGAACGAAGGATAGTGTGACTGGTGGAACATCAAGACCGTTAAAAACACACTGTCTTGTAGGTCCAGGGACCGATCTGTTCTTTTTATCCCCAGGGTCGTCCTGGCATGAATGGGCTGAAGGGTGAGAAGGGTGACCCTGCAGACCCTAGCGGAGGGTTTGGCTTACCGGTAAGTGCTCACTGGAGTGCCTGCCTTTCCCAGGGTGCTGCAGCTGGCTGTGGAAATGGCTTCTCTCGCTGCTGTTTGCACCTAATTAAAGGCTCCATTGGTCTAAAGAGATGTGATCCCATGTGGAGAGAGAGAGATGTGATCCCTGCCCCAAGGAGCCAGCAGCCATAGGCCAAGAGGGGTAGCAGCAAGCAAGTTGAATGAGTGAAGAGAGTGATTTGGAGAGGAGCTGGGGGGCTGAAGTACTAGGATGAAGCCATGTCTGTGCCCATTTTGAAGGCACAGAACTCAACCCACTGTAGTAGAAAATACAAACTTGCTGCTTAGGGGCATGATCATTGGTCCTGGGTTCTCTGCTGCTATTTCCCACCATAGGCATGTGCCAGCTGCATTGTACTGAGTGTCATTCCTGCTTCTATCCCTCCCGACTGCTGCATAGCAGACAGCGCAGTGTGTGAATGGAGCAATGCCAAGTGCCACTGGTGGTTTGTTCCCTGGAAGGCAGTATTCATGGCACTACCACCATGGCTCCCTCTTCCCTCCCCTTTACTACCAATTGTCCCAGACAGTAATTCTTTCCCTTCTGGACTCCCACAAGCCCACCATGCTCTGCTTTACTTCGCTCAACCCCCACAGTCATGTCACACCCATTCCTAGTTCCCATGAATGACACGTGACCTCAGCGGCTGGGGGACATGGCGATGCTGGAGGCAGTAAGCAGGGAGCTCCCACAGACACTGCTGGCGCTGGTAGGGGGGGTGGCAAGTGCTGAGCAGAGGTCAGCGACCACCTGAAGATGCTGCCGGCAGTGGCCAGCGGTGATTGCTGACCACCCGCAGACGCCGCTGGCAGTGTCGGCAGTGGGGGTAGCAAGCAGTGACTACCTGCAGGTGCCACCAACAGTGTTGGCAGTGCCTTTTCGTAGGGGGTGCACTGCCACGCTCAGGGGGTGCACATGCACCTGTGTGCACCCCCTATACGTCGCCACTGCTAGTTCCTGCTCCTGTGTCAGACTGAAATCGGAGCATGGGCATAAAAACCAAGGTACCACAGGGTGAGGGTGGAGATTTATGATCCTCAGCCTCTCTCTGCTAACTGTCCATGGGCACACTGTTATCCCACACTAAAGGAAAGCTAGCAGTGGCAACTCAGCCTTCAGTGAAAGAAGATAAAGCTGCTCAGGCTAGATTCAGGGTATCGGTGTTCACACATTCAGTGTTCCACTCTCACTCTGATCCTTTCAGGCTTTGGCCCCCCCTTCTACTGCAGGGAATCAAGAATAGGTGGCCTCCAGCTCTGTGCCTCAGCAACTTGCTGATCTCTCTGGGAAATACAAATTTTCCTCCCTTGCCTGAACAAACCCCTTTTCCTCCACTGAAGTTCAGTGGTCTAGTTCCTTAGCATCATTGGATGGAAGGCTCTGTGACCATCAGTCTTTACTAATGTGGAGTACTTAATTGATTTAGGTGCCATCCCTAGACAACCAAATCCTCAGTCTTAGAGGGGCTGGGCACCTGTTGGCCTCAGCTGGGATGATAGGTATTCAGCTTTGAAAACCAGGTCTTGGACTATCCCAAAGTGATCCAGAGAAATAGAGGACACATCTGGGAATATGGATGCAGGTGAAGAGCTGTATTGCATGCAGCGTCCCTGCTGCCTGCAGTGTTCTTGTAGCAAGGGGGTCACCGATAACTCTGCAAAAAAGAGTACAGCTGTATTGTCATGTCCCAGCCTCTCCTGTAGTGCATGCTTCATTAGGCTGATTGCATGTCAGACCAGGCTTCTCAAAACAAATCAATTTTTCCCTCCCTGCAGGGTCTTCCAGGTCCCCCAGGCCCTCCAGGCCCTCCTGGCAGCATAGTGCCCATCTATGACGGTAACGTAAGTAACTATCCTTACACTTCATCGCTCTTGGATACACATCGCTGCAGTTTGGATACACATAATGACCAGGACAAGAAACCCTAAAGGCATCTCCTTGCTCCATTTACTCCCCAGTTTCAGCAATGTAGAGGGCATTTTGATTGGCCCGTGTGAGCCCCTTTCTCAGGAGCTGGTGTCCAACATTAGAATAATTGAAAATGGTGACCAACAAAGGCAGTGCCACTATCTGATTTCATGATATGGTGCACTTTGGGTTAATGACTCAATAGCTCAAGGTATTATCCAGTCAAAGGACTGCGTATAAGATACTAATACAGCTCTCCAGGGTAGTCATCCACATATCCTCCATATAGGACTAGGTGGAGGACCCAAGTGCCTTTTAGCAAGTGCTGGTTAGACACCTGGAAACTCCTGTGTCCACTAAGGTGTGGAGAGAGAGCAGGGCCTGTGATCCCCTCAATTTCTGAACAAAGCAGATGAACTGGTGAGGGGGGAGGAGGTGGTCCTGGCTGACAGCATCTTTTTATTAGAACCTACTGGTTTCAACAGGCCAGCTGACAGCACCCACTGCCCAGCATGAGGGCATCTTGATCCAACTTTTGGGACATCACAAATGGAACATATAACCTGGCACCCAGTCATGATGAATGTGGACTCATTAATGAGATACATGTTTAATACAGAAGCACATCCTACACTAGGAAACACCGATACCAGAGTGAGCTATATGTGGGCAGAGAGCACCCCACCAGCAGTGATAGGTTCCATGCATGGTGCACTGCATCAACGCATCGCTGGGCAGACCCTGACTGTAGCATGTGCTAGTCTGTGGCTCTGCAGCTCTGCCTGGCCAGAGTGTGTCATAGGCCTTTCTTGTTTTTAAAGCTCTGTTATTTTTGTGTTTTCAGGCATTTACTGAGTCAGGCCCTCCTGGACCTCCTGGCTTGCCAGGTAAGACTATACTAATACTTGGAAGAGTAGGGAAAGAAGAATGGAGTCTTGATTTTTCCAGTGAGCCAGTAATTAGAGCACTGACATGAATGACTTCGGGAGACTTAGCCAGAAGGAAAGGGGTGGGATTTTAGAAAGTCCCAGTCAGGAGAGATGTTATTTGGAATGACTTATTCTCTTAAATTTAATCTTTATCTGGATTTTACAGTGATGGGCTACAGCTAGCTACAGTAAAACGTGAATGAATGAATGTGTTGTGCCCTGCAAAGGCCTTTACTGATAGGGCAGTCGGAAGTTTTTTTTTCTTCCCCTACAGAACATTTCCACAGGAAAGGGGAAAAAAAAGAATTTTTATTGAAATTTCCTGTAAGAAATTCCAACTTTTAAGAGAAAAAATTGAAAACTAAAACATTTCATTTTCCAGTATACAGGTATTTCTTTCCTGAAAAAATCTAAATTTTCAGTGGTAAAGGAATCACTTTCCATGAATATTTTCATTGTTCAGGATTCATTCCATGAACATTTTCAATCAAAAGATTTTGAAAATGTTCATGGAAAGTTCATGGAAAATGACAATATGTTACAAAAAGTTCATGGAAAATTATGATAATAAACTGGGTTTTCAACAAGGTGAAAATTTTCCGCCAGCTACTCCCTGCATAGCCCTATCATCTTCCTGCTCCACCTGCCCTTTTTGCTTTCTTTTGAGCATTTCTGCATCCTGGCTAACACTGCTCTGCAAGATTCTTAGGGCAGGAACAGTGTACTCCTGCTGATCTGAGAGCTGCCTAGCACTTGCTACTTATTTCCTGCTGAAGGATTATTCCTTTTGTGTAGTAGACACCTTCAGCTGTCTTTTGGGAACCTCAGCTATACATGTGGAGCGAGGCTGCTCTGACGCACTGTAAATACAGTGTTATCAGAGCAGACTTGATTAATCGAGTCTGCTGGAGCACAGTAATTACTGCAGTCCAGCAGACTCTAGTGTTATGTGTATCGGTGTCCCCATGCCAAAACATGGTGGTGGGGGCATTGACAAGCTTTAGTTAAAGTACCTCCATCGCCATTTGTCAACACAAGGATGCTGATGCGCGTGATGCTCCAGGTGCTTTAATTAAAGCAGCTCTCAGAGCCTCTCTAATTAAAACCTACCCCTCCTACTCCCAGAGCACATGTATTTTCCCAAAGGTGCAAAAGAGCCTGACATCCACAGTGGTCATCTATGTCCTCTCTGGGTAAAAACAGACATAGGGTTTATCCTGGGTCTGATTGTCCAGGGCTTTGACTTGCATAAAAACATGTGTTGGACTGTCATTTATACACAAAGCTTGAATGGCAATTAACTTGCATTAGCCACAATTGTCCTGGGGACAAAGTGTTATCTCAGAACTTCACAGGTACTTGAAGTGGGACTTAAAGTGGCACTTAAAATGTAGGTCTCTATGATCCCAGGATACAAGTCTTTGTCCCTACCTGATTTTAACCTCCAAGTCAGCCTTTATACTCAAGGATAGATTTACCCTTTAGTGGGCTGCTCCTCTCAGCACTGAAGGGAGTTTGGATGGAATACTTTACCTCTTCCTCTGCTATTTATCACTGAGTGATAGGCACATTAGCTGCCTCATTGCTTTATGATTTTAAGAGCATGGCAGGAACCATAAAATGCCTCACACCTGTGACTGGCTGGGTTCACAAAAGAATATGGGTTCCATTGGTTTTAAAAAACACATTTGAACATACATTATCTGCTGTTAGGTAAAGTCATCATTTGCCTGTAGCTCTTCCCCATCTTCTGCTGTGCTGGTGAGAAGAGAATGCTGTGGTAAGATGGGTGCAGAGAAAACAGTCATTTCCACTCTTTGCTACTAGATGTTGCCATAGTCCCAGTCTGTCCTCTCCACACTTTGTTTGATGTCCAAGCCTGTGAAGACAATGTCAGTACTTTCTTTGGCAGGTTACCAGGGTGCCCCAGGACAGAAGGGTGAGAAAGGAGACACAGGTGCCCCAGGGCCCCCAGGTAAGTGAGCTTCTTGCAGTGGACAGATCTCTGACCTCCTGTCTGTCCTAGGCTGAACCAAGGCTACAGGAAGCAGGATCCTGCCTGGTGGCTAGACGGGTGGGTTGTATGTGTGTGTGCGTGTGTATCGCTGCAAAGAACAGCTTGTTTGTCAGTCTGGGAAGGACTGGCTGGGCATAGCTAATGCAAGCTGGAGGGGATGTTCATGTTCAGGAAGATGTCACTGACACCTGCTGGCAGAGAGGGACACCATGCCATGCAGCCACTGGGTCTCTTTGCCCTGCATTGTCTTACTCTGGCATCCACACTCAAAAGAAGGTATCACAGACCGCTTCTGTGCCATGCAAGTGGCCATACATGGCGCAAGGGCAGAGAAGAGATTCTGTCTGGCTGTGCTCCACCTTAACTTAGCAGCCAGCTGCATGTGTCTTTATCAGCCCCTTTGAATGTCCTTGGTTGACTGACTTGGGTTGGCTTAGCCAGTCAGGAGTATGAAAGACCTGTCTCCCTTTTTCCATTGCTCATACAACAGCTAGCTTCTCACCCACCTGTGTTGCAATGGGCCCCTGGGCAGGGTCCAGCACAGTGAGGAGAGGCTCCTCATTCCCTGCTCTCCAGGTTGGGACACGGTAGAAGCATGCTGCTGCTGCTGCTACAAAATCATTCATGCACAGCCAGACTCACACCACCAGAGTGTCAGACTGCTCTGTAACCTCTGGTCACATCTTATGGGTGATGCCAGACATTGTGTGGGCATAGAGAGCTCACAAAGGCCCTGGCTAGACAAATCAACCCTTTATTTGGGGTCTACTGATTGACAGGTTTCTTTTCACGTACAGTAATGTAAGGCAGCAGCATCTATGACTTTTTTCCCGAGGGAGTGTTACATGGTGGGTGATCCCAAACCATGAAAACCAAGCAACTTCTGGGCTGCCAGATTTCCCAGCCCAGCCTCTGGGCAGAGATGCCCTCCTACTTAAGAGATGATCCAGCCCTTCTTGAAAGGATTAAACCCAATGGGACTTAGCTGCACCCATATGCATCCATACAGCAAGACTCACCCCAAAGGATTTGCAGAGCTGACTGCTTGGTCTCCACATGTCCCTCACTCCTCATTGCCTAGAGATACCTGTGTGCATGTATGTGCTCCTGCATACGTTGTAGCTGCAGACACAGTGAGGGGTACTAGTGCCTGCCTCCCAACCTCATTTACTGGAAAGGTTGCAAGGTGGGCAGTGAAATAGGGAATTACAGAATGGGAAAGAAGAGTCCCATGGTTAAGGCACTGGAAAGCTGCACTGGAGTCTACCCCTACCTCTGCCACAGACTTCCATGTGTGATGCTAGGCAGATCTCTTAAAGCAGACTTTTCCCAGGCAATCATGTACTTTGCATTCAGTTTCTGGTCTCTGACTTGAGATGTTGATGTCTGATTTGCAGAAGTGCTGAGCTCTCACAGTTACCATGGATGTCACTGGGAGCTGTGCTCTGAACATATCTATTACTATATAATGCTATATGCTCTGAGCAATCTAGGACCTGATTTTTCAAACTGGGTACTCAGAATTAATTAGTGGATACTTTTGACTTTAATCTCCCTGTGCTTCAGTGTGCCAGCTGGAACATGGAAAGATACAACCACCTTGCCTCACAGGAGTGTTCTGAAGATAAATTCATTAACAGCTGTGAAACACTGAGATAAAATAGTGATAAACAGCATGGAAAAAACAGGCCAGGAGCTGATTAATCATTCTGTCTTCAGACCAGGCTTTGGATGGGGGCAGAACAATACAGCATCAGGGACACATTTAACAGGGAGGAATCAGCACAACATTAAATAGCAGCCTTTTCAGTGAGCACTGTCTGTGCAGTACAATGAATGAGGCAGGGATCCTGGGAAAACAACAGGATGCAACTGTGTAATTAAGGGCTGTCTCATAATGAATACGGGGGAGGCAGGGAGGGGCAGTTCAAGGCTGCACAGGTAACCTGAATTCTGGCACTCCCTGAATTTTGCAACCTTAATGGTGTTCTTTTAACATAGGATTTACACGTGTGTATAGATGCACTTTTGCAGGTGTTTACATATATGGATGTGTAGCAAATGGGAGGTGTGTGATTTGCTTCCCATAATCATTTGCTGTGCAACGTTGTATTCTGCAAACACAGAATTAACACAGAGCTGTTGTGCTCTGGGTTTATTTGCTGTGGTACAACATGAACTTATGGAGCAGAGCTGATTTCTCTCCCTAGTTGACTCAAGAACCACAGTTCTTCATCCTGTTAACTTTAGTGTGTGGGGCGCAAGTTGCCCCCAGCCCCAGTGAGGTGAGACAGGAATGCCAGATGGTGATGAAGCTAAGAGAAGTGTTTGAGACACAATGTAAAGGAGCCTCATTCAGCCTGTGTACTACCCACTCTGACAGTTTCCCCTGTTTGTTCACAGGCCAGTTCCCTTATGACCTCAGCCGATTTGGTGCCGCTTTTCGGGTAGGTACATGTTCCAGTAGCACTGAGTCCTGCTGTTTCTCTGCGGTCAGTGGGATTCTTGTGTGTGGCAGCACTAGCAGCGGGCACCAGCAAGCGGGTATGGTGCTGGAAGGAGTTTGGGGTTATGTGTTGCCCATCTGCAGCCATCACTGCAGACTGTGGGAGTCTTCAGTACAGTGGCTGAAGAGCCATGTGACCATTCACACGGAAAAGCAGATTATAGCTTTCATGGCACAGGAAGCGAAACTTCTACAGCGCACAGATGTCAAATTGTCCTGCCTGAATCACATGCCCTAAGAGGAGTGGCAGTACCACATCTGGGGCTGATACGCTCAGAGTGGATCAGCTCCCTACAGCCACAAGCAGTGGCAGGAAATACACAGTGCCCCAGGCCATGCATCACAGTGCAAGTCTGTCAAGCCTGTGCTTGTTGGATCCTGGTCTGTTTGGTCAAAAGTGACAGGGTTAATCTGCGAGAGGAATTCAGCATGCTGCTATACTCAGGTTTGGGTTGGATGTGATCTGTATGTCAGCTGTTTGGCATATGGACAGACTACAGTAATTATAACTGCCTTCCTTAGGGTGAAAAAGGAGAGCGAGGGGACTCCGGCTTAAAAGGCGAAAAAGGCGAGCCTGGTGGGGGAACACTATATGGACCAGGCGTTGTTGGACAGCCGGGCCCTCCTGGTCCCCAGGGCTACCCTGGTCTTCCGGTAAGATGCCTCTGATGGCAGTGGGTGTGGGGCTCATTCGTGAGCATGTGCGCCTCTTGTGATCTGAGCACCAAGGCGGCCCTGGGACGGAGTGGGATGGGGCAGGTGGCAGGTAGCCCAGCATTATCACCACCCTGGGGAGTAGGGGGTGGGGGTGCACTGAAGGGAGAATTTCAGGAAGGTGTGGGGATGGAGGACTAAGAATTTCTCAGGCAGCAATGGCCACAGGGCCAGACTGGATAGTTTGAGTGAGAAAGTGCCCTGAGTTTCCCTTCCGTCAGAGAATGGTAGTGCTGTTCCCTCTCCCCAGCTGAAGTGGGAGGCAAGAAGTAGGGTCGGTGAGCTTAATGCCAATCCCTTGGGGGTGTGGCATGTGCAGATGGGAGGCAGAGTGTGCTCTAGCCTGACTCTCCTGGTGGAGGGATTGGGGTGAGGGTGTGTGAAAGGCTAAGATAGGTGTGCTGGGTTGGGGCAGGCTGTGTGTTTAGTCTGAAGAAGACTCTTATACACCTGTAGGGTCCCAAGGGAGACAGCATTGCTGGCCCACCTGGCCCCCCAGGACCTCAGGGACCTCCTGGCATTGGGTATGAGGGGCGACAGGGCCCTCCTGGCCCACCTGGGCCCCCTGGGCCCCCCTCCTTCCCAGGACCCCACAGACAAAGTGAGTATTTGCTGAGGATCTCAGCTCACAGTTCACTTGGTGTTCCCTTTGTCTGGGATTTGTTTCCTTGCCCTCAGTTCTTGGCAGCCTGATATTCATTTCTCATGCCTCCTTTCTGCTCCTCCAGCCTGATCTGGTGCTCCTTGTCCCTGTCCCTCAGACACTCCCTTCTCCTCCATTCTTCCCCCCGCCAACCTACGAACATGGCCTGAAAGGGTCCTGGTACATTGAAGCACCCTCGAGTCCTAGTCTGTTTTTTCTTCCAGCCAATGTGGTTGGCCCTCCTGGCCCACCAGGGCCTCCAGGACCTCCAGGCACCAGTGGGACATCTGCTTCCTCTGGGGTAAGATGGGGATGTGGAGGAGGGAATGGTGTTGAGCATGCTCTGGTGCAGGGGCCTGCCTGTGCATCTGTAATTCCCTGGGTTGTACGGTGGAGGGGTGGATGGAGGTGCAATGGGAAGCCCAAAACCAAGGCAGTGAGCTTCAGGAAAGGGTCCTAGCAGCCCTGGCCTATGGGAGGAGCAGACCTAGCCAAATGCTAGGTCCTATGTGAGAAGCAACACCCCTTAAGAGGACTCTGGGGCCAGCAGTGAGATGGTGAGGGTTTGACACAGTGAGCTGGAGGGTAAGCTTACCAGGTCATGGAGAAGATGGGCACCTGGCATGGTATCAAGATTTATGTGCCTTTGTCCAGTGCTAGTTGGGCCTGGCATACGGCTGCATGCAGGTTGGGCATTGTGCTCTTCTTAGGCAGGGAAAGCTTTCTCCACACTGACTGTTCTGTATTCCAATAGCTGAAGATCCTGCCATCATATCAGGCCATGCTGAGCACAGCCCATGAGGTGCCCGAGGGGTGGCTTGTCTTCATAGTGGACAGAGAAGAGCTGTACATCCGTGTGCGAAACGGCTTCCGGAGAATCCTGGTGAGTACGGGGTGGGTCTGCTCTATCTGGGAAAACTCCCCTGACAATGGCATTTGTGGGCACACTGGAGTAGGATGGAATCAAGTTGCCTGTGCACATGGCTGGCTGGGCTCTGGCATTTATAGAGCTGTTACAATTTAAGTTCTGCTCATACGCTGGCCACCACACCTATCCACGAGCATCCCAAGGATGTCCCAGGCATTCCCATCACTGAAGACTAATAGACCTGTACGCTGGCAGCTGCCAGTGAGTTTCACGCCTGCAAAACTCTTTGGCACAGGCTGAACTTTTGGTGCTGTGAATAGCCCTGTCAGAGGGCACAAAGCTGCTTGCCATGCATGCTACTGAGTGTCTGTGTCGTGTCTTCAGGACACAGACCTAAGACTCAAGCCTTACACCCTGATCAGCTAGTACAGCCTCTGCCTTACAGTTGGGACCATACCAGCAGATCCAGGTGCAGGTTATGGCCTGATGCTTCCTTTGCTCTCCTCTCTGAGCTGGAGATGAGTTGAAATTTGTAGAGCTCTGAGTGGTGATGACTATGTCATATACTGTGGGCACCACCATCTCCCTAGATGCATCAAAAATCTGCTAGTCTCCATTTTGCTGTTGCTCTTAGGGAAGAGATCCTGCCTCAGATCCATAGCTTGACATCATGGGCTCTAGCTGAGCAAGTGACAACAGCCCTTGACATTGCTTTCCTTGTTCATGAGCGGCTCTCGTGAGGAGCCTGGCTGATGGTAGCACAACCTTGCTCCCAGAACAGTCAGTGCAAGACAAGATTGCAGCTGTGGCGGCATCTTTCAGCACAGTGGCTCCCAACCTTTTTTGCTGTGACCCTAAATCTGGGTCACGTCCCCCACCCCTGCTGCCGACTCACTTATGCCCAGCAGTGCCAGCAAAGCCTGAGCTGGGCTGGGATTGCTGGGGGCAGCAGCAGCAAGAGCCACATGGACCATGTGCCAGGAGAGCCCTGCAGGCGGGAGGGGCAGAGCAAGGAGCGGACCCCCCCCCCCCCC